TTTTTGCGGAGCTGCTGAAAACAAAATGAGTACGAATGATTATGTACGGAACGTCGGATGCGCCACCCTGTCGGCGGGGCACGGCCCGTTTGAGGGCACGTGCCCTGAGTCTTACGAGGGGAAAGAGAAAACAATAATTTACATATATATATATCATTAGGTAATATTTTATATATATATATATATATAAAGCTTAAATCTAATCTATGTTGAGCATTCGGTGAACGACGAGAGTGACGCAGCCTGTAATAAGCGCGTTGCCTCTTTTCCTACACGTCTTTGAAAGCGTCCGACTATAAAAAGGGAAAACAAAAAAAAAGGAGAAAGAATAACCGAAAAGAAACAAGATCGCTTGTTCTGTCGTTTACGTATACGGATACACGATCGCGCGTTTACCGCGGAATTCGAGGCGAGCTGTGTAAATCTTGAAATTTGTTCGCGCAGCCTACGTCGTCGCAACACGGACGCGCAAGAAGAACCGGCGGAGTCAATTGTTTTTTTTTTAATGACAAACAAGATCGAATAAATATCTTGGAATCCACGAAGGTTCGTTGTTAGACTAGACACAAGGATTACAACATCGAAATGTCTAGTCTCCAAGATCGACCAACTGGACCCGCGACGTTTCTATTGCGCATCCACAAAAGCGACGAGTGATGAACAAAAAAAAAAAGATAAACGCTGGCATCGAGGTGATAGACGAGGGTCGTTATTGCAAAATAGTAAATCGATCGACAGACGCTGCGACGGTGATTCCCGTCCGTCTTTCCGCGATTCGAAGGAGACAAGAGACGACGGGGAAAGAGAGTGCGGCGTTCGCGAGGCAATCGCCGATATCCAACTTCGAGAAAGCTGGCTGACGTGTAATTCCGTAGGATCAAATGAAATTAAGCGGATGTTGCATGTCGTTAGCGGTCATTATCACAGTACATGGCCGATTCTACTTAATAAGTAGCCTTGCTCTCTCTCTCTCTCTCTCCCTCTTATCTCTCTTTTTCCTTTTCTCTCGTCGATCGAAATGGCACCGCGCACCTTCCGACATCGTCGTCTAATCACCCGAACCAGTTTCGCTCGCAGGCACGAGCGGGATGATGATTTTTCGTGGTCTGAAGCTAATAACATTTCGAGAACCGAAGCGAAAAAGACGTATCTCGCATTTCTCTTTTTTTTCTTCCGAAAAATAAACGTACACTCGTACAACCTATTTCAGCAGTTTTCCTCCGAATGGTCTCAAGTCGCATTTAGTCTATCTCATATAAATTCATCCCTGCTCGCAACAGCTCGCCACGAAGTCCTGCGGTCTCGTGCGTATGCGGAACTTAAAGTACGAAGTAACGTCCCTGTCATTCGGCCAGAAAACAACTCTGGACCTCCCCCTCCTCTCTGCAAAGTACATCTTGCAATATGTATATAAAATATTTATATATATAATATATATATAAAAGAGATTAAAAAAACACCAATCCGACATCGCTTCTTGTTCGTTCGCGACACTCGAATATACGTATTGTTATATCACACGGCGGATTTTGTGACTGCGAGATTAGAATATAATAAGCATAAGCACTAATAGTCGACTAATATCAATAGTAGCATATAAAAAAAAAGAGACTTCTTGTCGGATATGAAAACAGAGTGAGAGAAGTTCGTACAGTCGATACAGCGTAATAAAAACAAAGGTGATTAAAACTCTGTGACGGTACTAAAAGAAATGCACCATACGCAATATCTCTCTTGTATAAAACTTAATAATTAATAATAATATAATTATATATATAATAGTAATAATTAATAATAATAATAAAATAATAGTAATAAGACATAATGATACAATTATATCGAGTACTTCGTAATAATAATAATAATAATAATAATAATAATAATAATAATATAAAGAAAACAAATCTGTTTTATCTACACATTGTCTACAACAGTTATTATTTTTCTCGTACTTCGCATTTTTCGGTTTATGCGATCCTCAATGCGATAAAACCCAATTCGCTTCTCGATACAAGTTTTGACTCATTAGAGAGAAAGATCACGTCGGGAAATGTGTATGCGTGTCTCTCCCTCTTCTCCTCTCTCTCTCTCTCTTTTTTTTCTCTAAGCTTGGCCCGTTATGTTAATATGTTTATATATGTACCTTTGTGTAATCGGTTATTTTCGTTATCACGGATTCCTTTAAAGTACAATCGGCCGTGCGCATGAATAAGTCCGAAATGTTGTCAACGTGCTCCCTTTTCCCTTTATTGCGGTTTCTCGACTTTTTCAAGAAAAATTCCCTACCTCGCGCTGCTCCTTTCAGCAGTGCCGCACGGTTCGCGCGCAATGTTCCCCGCGGCGAGTTTTGCCGATCGAATTGCACGGGACCGTCGTTGAGACCTTCCATTTGACATAAATTGGGCCGAAGGAGAAGTGCATACAAGAGCCGGCTACTAATTATTACAAATTATAGAAAGCTTTGAGCAAAAACTTTTGACAAAATAAATAAATTTTATTTTAATCGTTTAATTTTAAATTTCTCGCGTGTTGCGAATCATTTTCTATCGCGAGTATCATTGTACGCCGTGCACTCGTTAACAAGCCATAAGTTGAGTTTTCAATCTTTTTTTCTGTCTTATAGAGAGGTAAAATGTAAAAAATTAATTTTAATGGCCAAAATATACACTGTATTAAAATTGAATTTAAAATTGTTGAGAAATCTTAAACTAATTGTCCTGGGAAATAAAAAAAGAAAATGTAATGTAAAAAAGTTTCATGACTGCGTTATCTGCAAGATAGTTCCAGTTCTCATTCAGATGTCTACTTGTTTTTGTAATAATGTAAATCACTAATATGTTATTCGTGAAAGACGAGGAACATATCTCGGACACTGACATTTATCGAAAAAATATTTTGTCTTTGATAACGAGCGAAACATGTAAATAAGAACAGATGTTCGCAGCGAAATTGATTAACTATCGAGATGAATCCCCAATTGAGAAATGATTATAGCGCGGTCAGTAAAAGAATGAAAAAGAGATGAAACAGCTACTTTTTTCAATCACATTCTTGTCGACAAGAACCAAAGTTCCCTAGAGAGATGTACATATGCTGGTGTTTCGATGTCTATGTAAATGATTACTGTAATTTTTAATGAATATTGAGCACCTTTAATGATACTTGAAATACGGTAAAAGTTAAAGTCTCACGCTTGATGCGTACAAAACAATTATATTTCGTGACAATTAAAGAGCTCGCGGAGCAAGAATAAAACGGTCCATAATCCGCAAGTTTTTCTTCAAGTGCGACTACTTCGTATTTAAAGTAGACTCGTGAATCGTATACTTATTCGAGTTTCTTAAACTCACGTTATCGCCCACCGGGCTTGGTACGACTTTACCGTTCACCGTATCCAAAGTGCTATTGCAAAATCGCTTCTACGGAACGTAACGAGGATATCTCATATTTTTGTTGCAGACGCATGTGTACGAAGGCATACGGATCGATGTTTCGAGTATGACCCAAGTTAGATGAGTGTTAATGTCTAACAAGCTTGCTCGTGCTTTCCTTCTTTTCGCCACGAGAACGACAAAGATATCCTAGAAAGGGCACGTAGGTAAGTGTTAAAATTATCTCAACGTTAATAATAATACTCATAAATATTACGAACGGCCACCGGAAGAGACCCCGCCATTCCCGGCGTTCAATATTTTCCTATTCGCCATCTTTTTCCCCATATAACTTCGCGTTTTACGTAATGAACGAGAGAAAGGAAAGTAAAAATAATAAGAACAACAAAAACAACAGTGAACAACCACCACGATTACATCGTCGTCGTCATTTCATCCTCGCGATATATATAAGTAGATTTTCTTTCGTCATAATAATTTAATGAGTCGTTTTATTAACGCGACGCCTCACGACGCGATTCCCCCCCCCTTTTCTTTTCTTTTTTTTAATATTGTATATTGGAGAGTATAATATAATTGCGGTTCCTCAATATAGTATAATATACCTTCCTAAAAATACGGTCAAATCACTGCCGCGAGCAGCAATTCCGAGGCACTACGAACAGGCCACAGAGAATATGGCCGCGCAATTATCATCTTCAGATCTCTGTGTCTCTAAATGACAAAAGACTAACTGTAGAACACCTAATACGTACGTAATCGTAATTATACTAACGCATCTCGTCGTCTAAGTTTTAGACTCATTACGTAATGTACAATAATTAGAGAGATCACACACGTCTTAATATAGAAATTTTAAAAGATTATTCTCTAATACGTCGAAGCCTCCCTCCCCCCCCTTCGTCCTCCCATTTTTGCTCTTCATTTAAGTATTGCCACGAATTGTTTTTCTTTTTCCATTTTTCCTTTCCTCCTTTTTTTTCCCCCTTCCTTTTAACGAGTGATGATGATAATTCTTCGAGATGTGAGCGGACCCCGTGCGAGCGCGGTCCTTCAAAGTCTTTTCTTTACTTTGAGCTACGCTATCGTCTACGCTACTTAAACGCTAACTTCTACGGTGTCTCAGCCTTCTTCCACGTTCCCTCCTCTTGTTTTTTTTTTTCGTACTCGCTTACCTAGTTTTCTTTTATCAGCACCAATCTGATTTTAAAACCGATTCAAAATATCGTCATATAGTTAGAATATAATATAACCTGTATAAATATACATTCAAATATTACTATAGTATACAAGAATCGCACCCTCCCCTCCCTACCCTCCTTTCCTCACCCCTTCGCTATGCTGTCGCGGATCACCGTCGTCGTCGTTCACGACTCGATCGCGACCGAAAGCTACGGCTCAGCACAGTGGGAGGATGCGTCGTTCTCGTAAATTCTACCTATAATCTCTCGTATCTTTCTCCTTTCTGCTCGTCATATCTCCCCCTCCCCGCCTCCCGCCCCAACCCCCCCCCCTGTCGTCCTTCTCCTACCCTCTCACTCACGTCGTACCTTTTATTTTTTTCGTCTCATTCACACCCAGCCTCATTCGCACGCGCTCGCATACTTCACCTTTCTCTGTCGTTTGTTTTCCTCCTCGTTCTGCCTCCTCTTCTTCTTCCTCTTCTTCTTTTGTTTGGAGTGAACGGCTTTACATATTTACAGGTATTCTTCTCGTGGTCGTGTAAGCGCTCCCCTCAAGAAGCACAACATCTCTCTCTCCCCCCCCCTCTCTCTCTACACATACATATATATATAATATTATATGTATATATATGTATATATATCTCGTTCTCACTCTCACTTACTCGCTCACTCACACTTTCTTTCTCTCTTTCTCTCCCGCGAAACTTTTAAAACATAGGCAAGTTAAATATTGTATCACAATCGTTTTAGTCTGGTCGAAATCGAACATCTTCAACCCGTTTGGCGATACGTGGCATTTTGAAGGGTGAGCGGTAGCGCCCCGGGCGGCGCGTGCACCATCCCGCGAGGAGAAGATAGGCGGATTCAGAGGGATCTCTCCCCTCTCTTTCTCTCTCGGCGATCTCTTTGAATTCGCCTATGTCTCGCGGGCGTAAGCCTCGAACTCTCGTGCTATTCGCTTGTCCACGAAAGAAACGCGCGAAGGTACGTCGTAATCGATTAATTATAAAAAATACGTACGGAGGAATAGACGAGACTCTTCGTTGGTTACTTTACCTTGGTCTGGCTAGCGAGAAACTCGACGGTGAGCAGCGGCCGCTTTTCCGAGCTTTTCTGCGTTTCCCCCTCACGTCACTTGTCCTTCGTGCGAGATCGACGACTTGGAGATGCGGGAATCGGTATTTGCATTTGCTAGCGAATTAACTAGTTGATCGGTGTGTGCGTCAACAACAACGAGGCATCGATCTAACTCGACGCGCTGAAGAACGGAAATTAACGGACATTGCGTCGCGACCGCGTACACCATAAAAAAGAATAAAAAAAGAATGCGTATCACACGAACTTATTAACGAGTTTAAGTGTCATCGATTGGTATCTGAGCAAGTATAATCGAATCGTCGTTCGTTACTCAGTAGCGACAACGTCTTCCCGCGGTGTCGTTCAGCGCGCGTGACATTATAGCATATTCGACGAATGTCACACGAGAGACCCGGTCGCACATATCCTTCCTGCTTCTTGAGCAACGCGAAAATCCAAAGACACGTGTGTCAAACAAGTACCCGAGAGCGATCCCCGAAATTTATATCTCTCTATTTACATCACAGCCGGTGCGCTACGATTCAGAGAGGGATAGAAAAGCGATTTTTCTCTCGGAGATAATTTGATCCGACAGCCAAGCAGAGGCGTAGCGACCGGTGTAGTGCACGTTTTCGCGACGTTCCTCGGATATTCGCGTTACGCGTTACGAAATGCGCGACGAAACCGTTCTCACCGTCGAGTTGAAGACTAGCTGGGCGTGTTCCCCGAGGCTCTGCTGAGCAGCGATGTAACAAGAAGAGCGAGCGAGTTGTGAAACGACGAAAATAAAGGAGACTCTAGTAAATGCACAATGATAAATGTCACGGGTAGTGTTGCTGGATCGGCTGCTGACCGCATCGAGACGCGGCGGCGGCGGCGGCGGCGATGGCGTTCGACGTTGCGTCGGCTTCCAAGGCGGCGGGGCCGAAGCAGCGCTGAAACCTCAGCGCGGGGATTCCTGCTTGCTAGTAGGCGGCAGGATGGACGGTTAGTCACTGCGGCGGCAGACCGGTCGGTGGCTTGAATTCGCCGGTCACGGAGACGCCGTTCGCCTGGGCGCCGGGGAACTGCGCGGTGGAGACCGGCGGCTGATGGTTGAACGCGGGCGCGTAGCACTGCGGGAAGTAGAGCTCCGGCTTGACGACCGTCGGCGTGAGGCCGCGGGGCACGGGTACCGGACCCAGGCCCGCGGGCGTGCCGGGCGGCTTCGTGTCACCGCTCGAATTCCGGCGCACTTTGGCCGCGTGCGGGTTCATGTGGTTGTCGATGTGCTTCTTCACCTCGGGCTCGGTGGCGAAGCGCCGCCTGCAGTTGGGCATCGGACAACAGAACGGCCGGTCGCCCTGGTGAGTGCGCGTGTGCTGGTCCAGGATCGCCTTTTGGCGAAAGTCCTTGCCGCACTGCTGGCACTTGTAAGGCTTCTCACCGGTGTGGATACGCAGATGCTGATTGAGAATCGTGCGCTGGCGGAAGTTACGTCCGCAGTACACGCAGCCGTACGGCTTCTCGTTCGTGTGGATGCGCAAGTGCTGCGTGAGGTGGGACTGTTGTCGGAACCGCTTGCCGCACTCCGGGCAAGGGTACGGCCGCGACTCGATGTGTATGCATCCGTGCTGCAGCAGCGTCGACTTCTGCTTGAACTCCTTCTGACAGATCGGACAACGCACGTACAACGGCATGCCGGCCGAGCGGCCGTGCTGTATCACATCGGGTAGACAGCTCTTCGTGCCACCCTGCTGCTTGATGTACTGCAACGCGCCGAAGCTGCCCGAGCCACCCGCGCCAAAGACCGCATGGTTGCCGCCCTTCGGATCTTTGAAGTATGCCGGGTACTGGATGGAGTTGGCGTCCGGCGCCGGACTGAACGCGCCCGACTGCGTGTCCGTGTCACCGAATGTCGACGCCACCTCCTCCTTACCCTCTTCGGGAGGAAAGGGAACGTCCTGCGGCCAGAGGGTCGGCGTCATTCCGTTCTTGAAGATGAGGTGCGGGCTCACGTCTGTAACGAGACAACGGTATCCACGATTCATCGACGGTATTCGACGGCGGACGTGCAAGAGGAACGTTAGTAGCCCGGATTACGGTTCAACGATACAGGACAAAATCTATCTACGTGTCAATTGTAGCGCGACCTCTAAAACGTTTCTTCGATTCAATGAGAACACCCAGACTGCACAAATATCCGGGAAAGAGTTCAAGTTCAATCGAGGTATCTTGAGGTACCCCGATTCGTTCGACGGCGTTTACGCGTCTTTTGGACTTTTGTGCTGTTTGGGACATTCTCATGAATTTATCCCAATTTATTGCAATTCCCATGGAAAGTTATTAGTATATTAGTAAGCATAGAGAGGAAGAAATGCTAGAGAAAGTAATTATCCGTGACAGGCTGATGTTGATTTTAACGGAGGGGCCACGCGAGAAACTCGAGTTATTAGAGGGGCAGTCGGGTTAGGTGGATGACAAGTTGGAGCGCATAGAATGGACACGGAGGCTACTCTATCTCACAGCTCACCAGCGCTGTCGCGTCCAGCTCAACCGTTCTTACCCGCCGGTTGGCCTTAGCTTCAACGAGGCCGATGATACCGCGGTACTTGTCTCCGGTAAGTCGTCGTTAGTTCTGGAAGCTTTTGAGGCAAAAAACGCGTTCCGGCAAGCTGGTGAGGGATATAGATGACATAGACCAGTGGTGAATTTACCCCCATTTATTTCGAAACGTATCGTCCTGTCAATAATTTATAATTCTGTGCTCTTTTTCGAGCCGCAAATCCGCCACTGGTGCAGATGCAGGTGAAAATCGAGATGAATCGTTAGTATGGGTTATTGTACCGCCGGCGGTAATGAACGTGATGACGGCGTTACAATGACGACGATGGCGGTGATGCCGATGGTGACGACGGTGGCGACAGTGTTTTCGATAGTAATGAGTGAAAACCGGTGGGTGGGTCAGTGTTTAGTTGTGGTGGACGCCCTCTGGGGAGTCTGGGAGGCAGAGAGAAATGCTCGCCTTGGTGTGTGCGGACGTGCTGATTCAGGATCGCCTTCTGACGGAAGTGTTTTCCGCACTCCGGACATTGGTATGGCTTCTCACCCGAGTGGATGCGCAGATGCTGGTTGAGGATGGCACGCTGCCGGAACGTACGTTCGCAGTACACGCAAGCGTACGGCTTCTCGTTAGCGTGTATGCGCAGATGCTGCGTGAGATGGGATTGTTGACGGAACCGCTTGCCGCACTCCGGACATCCGTACGGCCGGCTGTCTGTGTGGATCCGCTCGTGCTGCAGCAGAGTCGACTTCTGCTTAAAGTCTTTGCCGCAGGTCAAGCACTTGAACAGACGTAGATCGCTGTTGCCGGCCTTGGACGATTTGCCGCTCTGCTGCACAATGTCAGGCAGCCCGGTCGCCATATTCGGCGCGCCCGGACTCGCGTACTGATGCGCGTCCAGACCGGGCCCGCCGTCGCCTTGGCCGAGGGACGTCAGCATTACTCCAGGTTGCTTGAGATAATGCAGCGCGGAAAAGCCGCCGGGCGTGAGCATATGCGGCGGCACGGACGGTGAGGGGTGCGGCCGGGAGTCTTTGAAATAATGTTGCGGATATTGCTGCAGCTCTCCGGCGCCGGGAAAGCAATCGCTGCGATCCACCTCTGCGTGAGGAGTCAATTGTTGTTGCGGCGAGTGATCTTGCTGTTGCGTTTGTTGCTGCTGCTGAGGTTGTTGTTGGACTTGCTGCTGCTGCTGCTGTTGTTGCTGCTGCTGTTGCTGCTGCTGGACCTGTTGCTGCGTTTGCTGCTGCTGCTGCTGTTGTTGCTGCTGCTGGGACGTGGCTTGACTCGATTGTATGTCATCGTCCGGCGGAGTCAAGGATTGAGGCTCGGGAGGCGCCGAGGGATATGGTGAGGGCACGGGCGAGGCTAACGAGGGCGGGGGACCGCTTTCGCCCTCGACCGGAGGTCCACAGGCCTGCTGTGGGCTTCCCGACGAGGAGGAACCCTGTTGCTGCTGTTGCTGTTGTTGCTGCTGAGGGTACAGTCCACCGTCCTGGAGAGATCCCGGCCCCGGGCCCCACTGACCCTGGGGTCTCTCCATGTTATCTTTGTACAATACGTAGGGCGCGCCAGTATCTGCAAGTAAACAATGCAAAAGAGGATTCGCAATTAGGCAAGTGCTGACATAACAGCGCGCGTTATTGTGTGAAAGAGGAAATGTGAATTGCTCGTTTCATTTTCCACTTGTATACAATAAAAAAAAACGTGTTATTTTATCGGTAGCGGACCATTACACATATCGTCTCGAATTTCGTGTATACTTACAGTTTTTTATAGAATGAATAGACAAAATATCGAATGGATAGACAGTATTTGTGAAATGAGGCTAAACTTTGCAGGCGTTTTTTGGTTAATTTTGGTTAAGAATAAAACGTTATTCGAAATTGGGTCACGAGTCAGATGTTTGCATCTTTAGAATCTCAGATCCTAGAATGCGCGCTCTAGAATATCAGATCAGACCACGTTCCTGGTCACGCATGGACAGACACGTCCGGTTCACGCTTCACAAGTTCAATAGCTGTTATGCAGGTCAAATCTATGAACTACGTATAATCGCGTTGATAGCTTGTAAGGTGCTAAAGGTGCAGACGCGATACAAAATCACGCGGTTCGATTCGTTGGATTCCTGAATCCTTGAGGAATACTGTCCTTGGGCGCTCGCGAATATAAAATCGAACTTATAATCCGTTCAGTTTTTGTACTCGTTAATTTTTTGAAACGTACGGGTAACAAAGGCGGATGCGATTACAATAACCCGAAAATAAGGGGCAAACGCAAAGGAAGATAATCATATCGCGCCAAGTTTTTAATTAAACTTTACCACGCTATTTAAGACGCTTATTTAAGACATGTGTCTCGCCCAATCGGTATTATCGCGCGCAATTACGTTGCGAGGAATAAGACGGCTTAAGTCGTTTTACGATTACGGAATTTATGTTACGTAATATCGCGAGGCATTCCTCCTCTTATCGGGCTAATTACATCAGCCTTCGTTTTCTTTCATTTTGTCATTCAATCTGCATTTTTCGCGGTCTGTTAAAATTTTTGCGTTTGCTTTGTTGGATGACTCATCTGATGCAATACCGTTTCTTCGTGAAAAGTGTTCCCACGGAAGTTTTATCGCCTGGATACGCAACAAGTCACGATCTACGAGATTCGCAATTTATATCAATCAGAACTGTACACAAAAATATTTGATAACTTATTGTCTTAAAAAAATTGATTGGACGTAGGATAAATGCTAATTTACTGGAGATGGAAAATATATAAAAGCGAAAAACTCGGACGAATGTGTACAGAAGGACGTGAAGTAGATGGAAAGTTGTCTGATGTGTAGTAGTTGCTGTCATATGACAGATAACGATAAGACTTGGAAATATTTGTTAACCGAGTTCACAGATACATAAATTTATGCCAAGAATAAAAGATCATTTCGCGATGCGATACGCGTCTACCGATCGTTTGCACGCGATTCGTATTTATAAATAATCGTTTTTATTGTGTCGCATTTATTCGTTACAGGACCGTTATTTGTTAAGATAATACTACGTGCATCGGATATGCCGGGATTAGTTTATTGCAGTTCCAAGTTTATCCCGTCATATAATTGCACTTAACTATTTCGAGAATCTTCAGCGCGATAACATTGTAATATCCCGTTATCGCGGTTAAGAGAAAAGCAACCGGTCGAAAAGTGACGCTAGCGCGATACTCGCGGCCCGAGGACTGTCGTTATCGTCATTGATATAATTCTGCGTAACATTTCGCGAGTCCCACGATTAGCGCGAATTTTTTAATTAGCGCGTACATGTAGCGCAATTCTGTTTTGCAAAACACCGCTTTCTGTCTCTCTAACCAGATGCGTTCTACTGCACAATGAGAAAAACTGAAAAGCTTTTCAATATTTCTCGATAGCAGGAAAAGCTCAAGCAATTGTATCATTGTAGAGGCATCAATCGTGTATCGACGTAAATATTTACGCGCCAACATCTGTAGTCGGGCTCTTATTTGCTGTCTCTTTCTACATTTACAATTAACGTATATTATACGGTTCGCTCCTGCACTAGAAAACTTATAATGCGTCCGCTAGTCCTGCCCTAAAGCCGGTTTATTTTCGAGGAATTTGTCAAAAGTTATGCCAAGGCGATGCTGCGTCTCATTAAACTCAATCTCCGCCCGGCAACACTTAATTACATCCAGAATCCCGGAGCAATCGTCCAAATTTCCTTCGCACCCAGGAAGTCATTAGCTATATCGTGCAAAAAGAAGTCTCGCGAGAAGTTTTTGTAAGCCGCAAGTGCACTTTACGAAAATTGACAGTTAAGGTAAAAACATCAAGGCCACTGAAAGTTTAATTGATAAAGTAAAACAAGCATTTTTTCGCGTGCTTAAAAATTTTACTCTCGCGAGAAATTGTGATTCGTGGATAAATGTAGCTTTCTTAAAGAATGAAGTGCTACAGTAACGATAATGATAATAATAATAATTAATAATTACTATTGTAATAAAAGCTTGTTCGGCCAATTGTTCAAACACAGAAAGTAAAAAGATATTCGCGAAGGCTAGAAAAAAGGAAAAAAAATGGTTTTCTCTCCATTGCGAGAACCTTTCCTATATAGTGTCGGGTTATTCGAGAGGCGTTCTTAATGCTAAATTGCGTTAAAGAAAGGTCCAGATTGTTCTTTCGATTTCCCTTGCATTCGCGTGGATAAACATTGGCAAGCGTTGATACGAACTCCCAAGTTTTGCTGCAATCCGACCGAGCTTTAATGAGAGACGCGATCCACTTATAACTTTACCAACTAAGCAATCGTAAGATCTCGGAGTTGATTTTGATGCGCGTTATGTTTCACAAATCACATAAAGACAAGCGGCTACTGTTCATTTCAAAGAAATACTGTCGAGAGTCACTCTTGAAAGTCGCACTTACAAATGGATATATCAGTGGAGAGTGTTACGGAGAGTTGTTCGCTTACTTTCATTCTCTTATTTTCTTTACTCGCGAGTTGTTCTCAAACGAACACAAAGCTCAACAACTCAGTGGCATAAATACTTAAACGTAAATGATTTAATAGGTCGTAGACAAAAAATCGGCCAAGCAGGTACGATCAAAAGTGTTTGTGTGCCGTGTCAATCAATGTTTAATCGTAAGGTCGGCCCCGCATCGAGCAGTAAACTCACTCGCTAGAATCCAAATCTGCATTGAAATTCCGTAAGAACAGTCAGCAAGTGAAAATGAGACGGTACTTGTTTCGACAGTGCTGCATTATTACGCAGGTTAGAACGGGGAACACGTATGTCGAGGAATCCCTGTTGAATGATGTTTTGTTCGTTCGGACCGGTTTATCACTCAAGTTCTTACAGAGCGTGAGCCATAAGTCTCCAGCATCGCACGCTATTTCAACAACTTGGGAATAACTCGCGATAGACGCCCCGCGTAAAAACTGAAACGTTCCAAGTGAAATTTGTGAATGGGGATTTTGGGGACGTTTCCCCTCGACGCGTCGCTCGAAGTGATGGAAATGCCGCGGCTCGTGAAAATCTTAAACACGTGTTAAGGCTGGCCTACAATACATGGAGTAAGCTGGAGTAAGGAGTAGGAGTAAGGAAATAAATCCATTTTATTTCTTACTCCTACTTCAGCTCTTAGGCTTACTCTCGGAGAATCAAAATGCCATCAATCAGTGTTACAAATATTATAAAAATTATGCCTGTATTTCAGCTGCCTTACACCAAAAGCTAGAAGTTGGGGCTCTCTCTTACTCCTTACTCCACGCTTACTCCACGTATTGTAGACCGGCGCTTAAAGGCCATTCTACAATTGCGTAAACGTAGTTGTAGAGGGTTGTAGGAGTAGAAGTAGTAGTAAGTGTTGTATATTAAAGTAATATACAATAGAGTGAGATACGTCATAATTGAAGTGAATGATCGGTTAATTTTTCCGTCCTACGTCGTTGTAGTCGTGAAAGATGAAGTTCAGCCATCTTTTACAACAGGCTTTATAATCGGAAATGCTAGTTTAAAACTGTGTTTTACAACACTGTACAACCACGTTTACGCAATTGTAGAATGGCCTTAAGGCTGGTCTACAATACATGGAGTAAGCTGGAGTAAGGAAATAAATCCATTTTATTTCTTACTCCTACTTCAGCTCTTAGGCTTACTCCCGGTGAATCAAAATGCCACCAGTCAGTGTTACAATTATTTTAAAAATCATGCCCGTATTTCAGCTTCCTTACACCAAAAGCTAGAAGTTAGGGCCTCCCTTACTCCTTACTCCACGCTTACTCCACGTATTGTAGACCACGCATTACACTGTCGCGCATCAGTCAATATTTCCCGTGATATCGATATCTCATTTAGAGCTGGAGTAAGCACACCGAGAGACACTTGAATTGACTAGCAACACTTGCGTCAACAGAAATCGGAAAGAAATCTTGGTAGAAATTATTGCCGGCGAAAGAAAGGAGGCGTGATCGCATAGTTGTTTAACGACACACGAGAAGACCGCAGAAGTAGAAAAATTGTACAGCGCGCGTGAGATACAATTTAGTCGATAAGAGCCGGATAATTTACCCGTAACTGGCTCTCGTTGATATTTCGAAAGCGGACCTTTTGACAAAACTGGAGCTTCTCTCGGCCGAAAAAAAATGTCCAGACCGAGTAACAGAGTTGGAAATATCGGCAATGCACAGCGAAACTTGTATTCAAGTATGGAAACTCGTCGAGTAAAAAACGTAAAGTTGTTCGTCTATCGCATGGTACGGTACTTGGTGGAATGGTATTTCGCGTTTGCGAAAAGTCGCCGATGATATCATTGATTTTTCGGTAACAAGCATGGGATTGCACTCCGCCGGGCGTCTTTACGATTTGTTTTGGCTGCGAGAAACGCATAAAGCGAAGCCGGGAGGACCGTGGCGCATCGGCGGTAGGAGGCGAGAAAGAGGAGCAAGGGAAGAGAGATGGCTCGTGGCTGCACATGCGCGCTTTTTTCGTCGGGGCCAGCATTTTTAAAGATTTTTCCTGCCGCGGCGGCTCGTAGATTTAAGTCGCCAGGTCGATCCCGTCGATTCCCC